GCAGGAATGAGACAAAGGCGTTCATTTAAACACAGAGGTGATGCCAACCAAAGACATTAACATAGACGAAGACAAAATACTGAAAAGAGATGATAAATCTGAAACCCCCTAGACTTCAGCAAGATCAGAGATTCTTAAGTCCCATCACTTAAAGGATTAAATTCAAGCTTTGTTTTTTAAGCAATGGAAAACTTGAGTTACTGATGAGGTGGCCACAGAAGCTAGAGCGCAAAGGCATCTGAAAGACAGACAGGTGACCTTGCTGTATCACTGCTGGAAAGAGAGATGATTCCTCTCTAACCCTAATGAATCTTCTAAACACACAAGAGAGACTACCTGCAGATAAAAATATTGACTGCTAAGAAGGATTAGGCTGAGATGCTAATATAGGTGGGTTTTTTGTTTTAAAATGCTGGACCATTGAAACGCTACTTTTTTATATGCATCAGAGTCTTACTTATTTTGGGAGAAACCCAAGGTTAATTTCAGTCTTCTTTTTTCAAGCTACAAAATCAGGCTCCACTATTACAGCTAATGAATATTAAATTTTTAAGCTAGTGCTGCATTGCTGAGATTAGACGAGTGATATCAAAAGGAAGAGAGACAACAATTAATAAGCACAAGCAACAGCTCTGTAAGATCTATTAGCTTTTTGGTAGCTTTGCTCTATTTACAGGAACCATATTTTATGGCAGTAATTTCCTCTTTCAAAGGTATAATGCTCCATGTACTCCATAAGGAACAGTCATCATCCTCTCAAAACTTAACTAAAACTTCACGTTAACATGAGAAACAAGAGTTAGGCTTACCTTATCAGCACACATTGCCACTTTAATATCTTGTTTTGTAATCTCATAATGTCTTATATTCCTCACATAATTCCCAACCAATTTTAAGATGTCTGCAGAAATGTATTCTAATACTGCCACTATGTAAACAGACACTTGGTGGTCAATTTTGTAGCCTAGAACTTCCTGGGGGGGGGGAGGGGCGGGGAAAAAAAAAAAAAAGTGTTCCACTGTTAGTCAATGAAACACACAGCATGGTTATAACTAAAAGCAGTAAGTTTAAGACCCTGCTCAATGAACATCCACCACATACCCACAGCCTATTTTAGTCACAGAAATATAGTAGTCTGTATGCCTAGAGAAGAAACAGTGTCACTGTAGATGCTGCTCTATTAACTGGAAGTGACAACAACCAATGACTGACCCAAAAACCACACTTAAACATTTAGGGCTATTTCCAGAAGTTTCTTGAGTGTTTTCTTAGTCATGCAAAATGATACAAGAACAATCAGATTTAGAGCAAATGAGTTCTTGGCTTTGTTTGGCCAATAGAGAATGAACTCATTTTTTAAGTGAAAAAGAAATACATGCAACTAACTAAACTGTAATACTTAAAAGAAAACTATGTAACAAATACAGATACTCTTACTCCTTTTTGTTTACATTTCAGGCAGCATATTAACATTATATGAAGCAAAAGTGTCAACTTCTAATTGCATTCTAAAAGCAAGATTACATCACTGCTTACCTTTAATAAGGGATGGATTTTTTCTACTGGGAGAGACAATGGATTTCTTCGTTTCCTCTTCTCAATAGCAGACTGGGCATCAGCTATTGCCCACTTATCAATAGGATGGGGAAAACTTTTTTGAACACGATCCTTAAAAAGAACCAAACAGGACTAAAGGGTAAATGCACAATCTGAAAGCGTTTAGCAATATTACTATATTATCAAATTGGTTTCCATTACTTAACAAAGGAATGTTTACTAATGCTCCTATTTCAACTATAAAAACTTGTACAACATGAGTAAATTTCATCACTTTGGTACATGGTGCTCACTCCATTCATAAGACTGGATCAGAATACCATTATCATAAAATAATCTAGTGCTCAAAAATTGAGAAATGCCACAATTAAGCTGCCATTGCATGTACAATTTGCTCCCCTTGTGCACATGCCTGGTAATTCAGCATTTAAATACATGAGCACACTTCATCCTAGTACTTTTTTCTCTGCGTAGAATGGTCACTGAGCGAGATGATACAAGCCTTCTGTTTCACCTTTACTCATCAGGACATGGTCGAGATTGTAAACATACAAACTGCTCTGATGATGGAAATGAACGTAACAGGAAAACATGTAGGCACCACTGGACATTCTATTTCAAAACAGTTTCACAGCTTACAGTTGGACCATACATGCCCCAGTTTATTTACCGCTTCCAGAGTCAGGGTGCCTGAGGATGCCTACGCTCCCCCACACACTGCAGAACTCTCCTGCTGGAACTCACACACAGGTCTCTGGAAGTTCAAAAGCTTCACCATTTTTGGTAGCTGTGGTGTTTAGGGATGTCACAAAACCAATTTCTCAGATAACTTTTTTTTTTTTTCAGACCACAGTTCCCACTGTTTCAGCTCCAAGCACTCGGTGACCGCTTACGTAAATATGACCCCAGTTTGAGCAACCATGAAATGAGGAAGATGAAGTTAATGACCACTTGGAAAGAGCTGGCACAGGACAAGGTACACAAACAAAAACTTCCTAACAAAAAACTGGGACAGAACACAATTCTATAAAGGTGGCACCCAACTTTCTGAAGTACAGGCTTTTCTTTTTCTCCCCTCATCATAACACTTCTGCAAAAGGAAAGCAGAAGTCTTACCAAAACCAAGTCTCATTCATTAGCTAATAACCAATTCACTCCCCTAACACACTCCAGGCTGCTGATGGAACAATTAGGGTGCCCCGGGGAAAAAAATAAATGTGTGTAACCATATAATTAAAGACAGTGCTATTATGCATAAACACAAAGGGGGTAAACTGAGGTTGCTTGATCATCTCACATATCTCATCCTGATTTAACAGCCATAAGGCGTGTAATGCAACACTGTGTGTCAAGTTTGTTGTTCACATTGTTTAAAACACAGCATTAAACAATCGTCTTCCCCAAATCTCTTGTCTCTTGAGCTGCCAGACTAGAATGATGTTGCAAAACAGGCCAGCTATTAAAGGGGACACTGGAACACTATCAGAGGTGTCAGTGTTCAAAAGAGAAGAGGAAAGATGAAATTCATGAGTCTTGAGCCCAGACACAGTTTTGGGGGCTTTTTTTGTTGTTATTGTTGTTTTTGGGGTTTTTTTTTTTTGGAGGGGGGTTGGGGGGGGGGGGGGGGTGCAGTTTGCCACTAGTCCACTTTCTTCAGAACACTTCAGCTGGGGCAGAGTTAACTTTCTCCACAGTAGATAATAAGAGGTTACGCTTTGTATTTGTGCTGAGAAGGCCACTGATAATGTACTGATGGTTTATAGCTGTTCCCAGGACAGGCAAGGACTTTTCAGTTTCTCAGGCTTTGCCAGTGTCTGCAGGTGCACAAGAAGCTAGGAAAGAGCACAGCCCCAATTAGGATTTGACCTCAGGTTTAGGATGGAGACGCAAATTGGCTAACGGTAGATTCCATATCATGCATGTCACGCCCCGTATAGAGATGAGGAGCTGTCTGGAAGTTTTTTCTCTCCCTCTGTCCTTGGACTCTCCCTCCTTGGACTCTTGGGCTCTTATCTTTTCTGGGATTGCAGTTTTGGGAATCTCTCTGCTCCAGGATCATTAGCTAGGAACAGGCTTAGCCTTTGGCATTGGGTAGTGATCAGTTTCACTGTGTGTCACTTATTTGTATATTTGTATCTATTACTATTATTATAACTATTATTTCCAGTGTTATTGCAGTTTAGTCATTAAATTGTTCTTATCCCAATCCACGAGCCTGTTTTCCCTTTATTCCTTTAGTCCTCTCCCCCACGCCTGGTAGGGATGGTGGTGAGCGAGCGGCTGTGTGGTGTTTGCCACTAGCTGGGTTTAAACCATGATATTGAGAAAGTTGCACCTTGTTTTGTTACCTAACCCAGCACAGGCACAGCCCCCAAGTACTGGAACCAACTGCGCAGGGAGTTGGTAGTTTGGCTCCAAAGTTTTCAAATCATGGTTAAGCACAAAGGGCTACCGAGATATACAGGGGCTTAGAAGCTTAACTCATTTGGCTTAACTAATTTGTTTCTCAGCTGGAGAAACTCAGATCAAGCCCTCTTCTCAAACATCAAACTGCTTTTCTAAGCAACAGAGACTGTAGATCTTTGAAAAGGCAACTGTGTATCAGTGTAAATCACCATATTGAGAAAGGAGCACAGAGCCTTGCATGCAACATCAGTGGGGAAAAAAGGTCTTTTGAAAAGAACCAGTCAGCTTTATGTATGTAAGTTACACTCACCATCTATTACACAGCAATACAGTTCAGAGATAGTTTTACAGTACATTGAACAAGAAATTCAACTGACAGGAAAATCAGCTATTAGGTAAATCAGCAGGCTTTATGCAGATGGTTCTCCTACATAAAGATATATAATTACTGCATTTCTTTTTACACAGTGAAATAATTAATATATTAACTTTTCATGTAACAGTTCAAATTATTACAGATTTGTAGTAATTATTCTCTATACCTCTACGTCCAGAAAACTTCTTGGTTGGGCTTGACACAACATATTTAACAACTGGAGAATTAACTCCTCCACATATTGTAACGCATCTTCAGTAGAGGAAAGCTTAGGATGGACTTGCACTTGAACCTATATGAAATAGAAGAATTCAAGCTTTGAGTTTTGCTCTTCCCCAAATGACATGCTTCACTTGAAGAAAAAGATGACAAAAGAATGAGCCAAACAGATCAGAAAAATCCAACTCAAAACATAGGTCTATTAAGGCACACCAGACAAACACGAGTGAAACTCTCATTTACACCTGATATAAATACAAATCTCAAATGTTACACGTACTCAGATCACTGTGACATTTAATAGAAAGAAAACAGCTCATGAATAACAGTGCTTAGCAGCGCAACTAGGAAAACTGTTAAAAACCCTGCATACACTTATCCTTCTCCTCCAGCTCTTAAGCCCCTCTTTGTCCAAGACATTTTAGACATGGGATTTTCTCCCTTTTACAACTCATTGTTCACCGCTCAAACCATAATAATGAAATACAGAACTTTTTTCACAAAGAGAGCACTACAGAAATAACGATCATTTCAGCAGTGTTTTGCCTTCGAATTATTTAATGCATTCTCAACTAGCTCTCACTAAAATATGATTAGCTTAGAAGTTTGTCTCCATACTGATTTTTTAAAAAGATATCAGCCTCTAGAGTAAAAAAAAAAACTTCAAAAAAGGTCAGTGTTGTCTGGGCACTAAGTGGCAGTTCACAGGTTTTGAAAGCTTGGTCCCCATACATTTACTTGCATGTCATAAGCGCCTGTAAATTTTCACTGAGGCACAATCCTCCTTGCTCCTCCCATCACTTTTGCAAACAGTCATTTGACTTCTGAAACAAGTCTCCAGTAGAGCTTTCCGTTGTACTTCTCTAGTCCACAAAATTGCAGTTTTAACCAGTTTAAATTTTAGGTACACAAAGCCCTCTGCTTCAGATCTTATGCAGGCAGTTTAATCTCAATCCCACACTGATGGCAAATATTATGCCAGAGCCAGGTGACTACTAACTTTCACAAAGCGTCTTTCAAGACCCAAGTTCATCACTTTACCATTCCACTGCACACAACTCAAAATGCTTCAAGTTCTCAATCACTAACACAAGAGGTTCACCACCTTAAACCAAAATCCAACAATCTGTCTCATCCAAATATTAAACCCATGTCTATATTCAAATAATAGTGCCATAATTACTTAATTTCACACCTGAGTTTTCATTCCTGTTTGCAGTTACAGCAAAAAATTAAATGTTATGACGTTCAAACATACAACTGCCTCAAACAGAAATCTACTTGCCTGCTAAGGCACTCATTAGTCTGAAAACTTCATGTCTGGGCATAGTCCTGGTGCTCATTTAACTGCCGTTGAGATTTTAATATGCTAGCTCATACATTTAGTTGCTTGCAGATTGCATACCCTTACGCAGCAGGTCTTAAAGAACACCCCCAGAAGTTATTGCTTTTTTAACTTAAAAGCACTCTGGCAAAAATAGAACAGGTGAACTTCTCTCCATTTGACTAGCTAACACAAGCATTTTGATTATGCCTACAGTTTCATTTTTCCTAAGAACTTCACTGTGCACAGCTACAGAGCATGTTTCTGGAGCTACCCGAAGAACAGCACGCCCAGCAGTCCCAAGCATTATTTACAATTCATACACCAACATGTGAAATACTGTACCAGCTTGGAACATCTTAACATCAGAATTACAGACTGGCGTAAGTATTCTCTTAAAGATCAGAGCTGATCTGAGTTGCCTGGAAGATGCTGCCTCTAATGTTGGTTTTTGTTTTGAAGCAGAACTGAACAAATGTGTATTACATTCTCCCCACAGTACACTCTAGCACTTTGTATTTTGAGAAGCGTTAAATTGGCAAGTGAATCCAACAGTAAAAATACAGAGCGTGATAAACCAGAGTGATGAAGAGCTGCTCTATTTTCTCCTTTGCTTAGAAAACAGACTGTAGACTTAAATAGCCTCATCACAGCTGTTTCAGTCTGTTACAGAGTCTATAGGAATAAGAACAAACACACACCACATCAGGCCATGACCTGAAACATTATCCACAGTCAGACGAAACAGAGTCAACGATGAGAACCTACTCCTAGTTTGGGAGATAAGAGTTCCAAACATTTTTCCTAAGTATTTATGTTTGGGGGGTAATTACATCATTCTTCTCAAAGGCCATCGTCTTCTGGCACTATCAAGCTCTACTTTAGTAGTAGATGAACCTTGTCAGAGGAAAACACCATGAGGTGCCATCGGCTTGCCAGTGTAGTTTCTCTGTATTAGGCAGGCAGTAAAAAAAGCTTCATTGCTACTTAAGTGAGATTTAATACCATTTACAGTTCAAAGTCATACAAGCGAAAGCAAGAAAACAACTAGACTAACACGGAAAACGACACAATAGCTTGGTGTACAATTATAATAGAAATGTGCAATTTTAGTATCTGCACTATTACAGTACCTAAAGGCTCAGACCAAGAATGAGAGTCTTATTTGAGGGTACTCGAAGCAAGTCCCAAAAGTCCATTATCTAAGATATGATGCAAGACTGGGTAAGAGACAAGATTCAGTAAGAGAAGAGAAGAAATGAGAACATCTGTTAACATACACCACCACACGACCAGTTTCAAAAAACACAACCAAGTCACCAGGGGGTTTCCATCTTTCTCATAAAGTCAGCTCAGATTTTAAATTAAAAAAAACCTGGGCCATTCTGCCTCAACAGCCTTGAAAAGGAGTATGACTTGAATGCCACCTGATCCTTCCCAGTCCTATGTTAGGAATACACCTGATAAAAACACACTTACTTCTCAAGTGGAGTGATGTTTTGTTAAAATTCTTACTCAAACATTTAACCTCTCCCATAAATAATGACAGAAGCCATCCCTTCCTTCCTACACACACCCCCCCAAAACATCTATCTTAATATAAGAGAAATTACTAAAAGAGCAGCTCAAGATCTTTTTACAAAAGCTTCAGTTCTTTGAAATACCCCAACACATTCTAATGGACAAATGCAATCTACATCAGCTACAAATCCCTGCCTCCACAGCTCTGTTTTCAATCAACTCATCTGATCACTTTTTTGATGTTCAGTTGTCTTAATCTTTAATTCTCAGCAATGAAATGACCAGGATTCTCTTTATTTAAAGATAAGCAGAGCCAGCATTTCCTGAACAGCTTTTCATACTCTATTAAGAACATGAGAGACAAGCAGTGTCCGCTTAAGAAAATTCGTAGCTCTTCAGGAAAATCCTATGATATGGCTTTTTTTGCCTTTTTTCCCCCCCCTTCCCTTAAAATCAACACAAACAAGGACTTTTCTATCAGGAATGGCAACAGCTTAAAAATTAAGCAACCACAAATTTAAACTACCAGAAAAAGTCAATGAAACCAACTAAAAAAAAAATGTGCTTAATGAATATAAAGATAAATATATCTGATCTTACTTTACAACCCTTAGCAACTTATTTTATATAAAGCTTTCTCAAATTATTCCTTTCCAACTCTACATAATAAACTCCAGCAAGCCTCAGGGGAAGCAGTAGGGACTTAGACCAAAGCCAGCAACAAGCTTCCATTGAAGGACTGCAGATGGAACAGCTTCATCTTACACAAAGGCTTGGTCTCCAACTGGCCCAACGCACCAACTCTTACTCTGGTCACAAGATGACCCCAAACCCAAGTCTAGGTTGACACACAGCAGTTCATTCTGCACTAGAAGGAGGTGTTTGGTACTGGGTAAGAAAGGAGATTCACTGTGCAAGTCAGTCTGATTGATAGTAAACCACACTTCCTTAGAGAGAGTTTCCAGCTACCTCTCCCACACACAGCCATGAGGAAAAGCCGAATTTATTTTGATCATAAAGCTGAAAAATTTCAGCTTACGATGAAAAAACCTCCCAAAAGACTTCTCCAAGCAACTTCACGTGTTACACAAGAACACCGGTGTAATGCTCCCAAATCACCATTAACAATCAACGCAATCGAGCTTGTGGCTCCTGGTTGCTCTGCTAAATACAGAACATACCAGAGAAGCCCTGCATGTGAAAGACTGCGGAGAACAATGCTGAACTGAGCCCCATCAGAAGCTCCAGGAAAGCACATAACATAAGGAAATAATTCTAAAGCTACGTAACAAACAAATAAAAACAAAGCATCTACTGTCGATTAGAGATTTTATTTTTTTTCATACAGACCACTCATCTACTGGGATTCCAGCTAGAAGTCACCGTACGAATGAAAACCCTGCTAAAGAACAACTGCACTCCCCTGCTGAGTACAGGTACTGCTGTTCTGACAGTCTTCCGTGGTGGCAGCTGAAGTGCTTCCAAAGAAAGTGTCTAAAGGAAAAAACCCATCATATTTACCACAGCATTTTGGTAACAAAATAGAAGCAGCTGTAATGAGACAACAGGTCAAGCTGTTTTCCAAAGCACTATCAGAGAGGATGAAAGTTTACTGATTAGAAGCATTTTGCTAAACCTTTTCTAAACCTTTGCAGACACAATTTATTCAACAAATTATTAGAAATCAATCGGCCACAGAGCAGGTTTTTGGGGGGGGGGGGGGGGGGGGCGCTGGGGAGAGGGAGGAATTTTCTTCACTTCAGTAACTTCGAAAATCTTCACTAATGTTGTAACCCTTATTTTTACTCAACATATCTCTGGTTAAACTTCCCTCAATGACTACAAAACTACTGAAAAGCAACTGCTTACCACTAGAACACTCCAGGATGAAATATTTTTTGTACAGCTTGCATGGATGACTGTTCTCATCGTGCAAGCACTCCATAGAAAGGTTTTTTTCTTCTATTCCTGTACATCTCTGCTGATATTTTGCAACCCTGCTCATGCTTTGTTACCTTGACCAATTAAAAATCCAGTAAACTAAACCAAATACAAGTGTCTTAGATCTACACTTCAGCAACAATTCACTGAGGCCAGGAGACACAGATTTTTGCTAACACTCCTCTTGATGTATCAAGGTAGCAGTATTACACCACACCAATGAGCATGTGAAAAAACATATAGTAAAGACTTGAACTGTAGAAGGATCTTAACTTTATCCTCCATAG